CGATTATAGTCAAAATCTTAATCAATACATTCGTTAAAACAATAACATGCTAGCGCATACTCTTTATTATACGTACGTAATAGCGTTTGATTTGGCTAAAGTACCCGTAAAATCGATTTTGACATTTGCTCCTAATAGAACTGATGTCCGTATCGTAGAGTTGTGTTTAGTTGTTTTTCAGAATAGGTCTGAACGTTTTTTCTCTGGTGCAGAAGGTAAATCCGTTTCTTTACGAGGCAAAAAGCGTTCAAGCGTATTCTGCAAGGCAGTTGAGTAGAACTGTACGATACGGATATCAGTTTCTATTAGGAGCAGATGTCAAAATCGATATTTGTTTTGTAAGCTATGGATTTTTTTCAGAGAGCAGCTATATAACTATTTTTGCCTCTTCGGTAATTCGTTAAAAGCGCTTCACTGTTTCAACTTTTAATGGTATTGTCTATACAAATACGTAGAACAAACGTTTCTCACAAAATGAGTCGTTCCGGAAGTCTGAGCGATTCTTAATGAATGTGTTGTAATAATTTTCCTGGATGCCCAAATAGCAGTCGGGAATAACTGGTCCGTACGTAACTGGTGGATACCCTAATTACATATTACATTTTTTGTCACTGATAAATTGATAATAAATCATTGTTTTCTGTTCGTTTCGCTCAAACTGAACTTCGTATTCATTTGTTTAATCAAAAATCAGTTTCGTATTTTGCTTGCAATTTATCTGTTTGCGATTTAAATTCTGGGTTATTTCATCTTCGTTTGTCTTCGTTAATAAAGATATCTGGTTTTGTGCTTCATCAGTTCCACGTTTCGTTTTATGTTACTTATAGAACTGACTTTCCATCCGTTTTAACTCTTTTATTCACTCTATACGATGCTCATTTGAATGTTTTCAATACTGGCGGGAAGCTGGTAATAAAAAATTTTACTTTAGATATCATTCGATAGAAGAAAATGAAGTGTACAAAATACAGCAAAAATATTGTTGAGGTAACTTGAACTTTTAAGCACGTGGCTCGGACTCGCCCATGCCTGGTTGCCTTACTGAAGTTCTGGCCAAAACTGAAAGTTAAGCTCTTGAAAGAAATTCACCCCTAGTCGTTTGCACCAGTCTTCTCCGCTTTGAAATTATATGACAAATTCCTTGGAAAGAAGAAATATTTGATAGTACCTGGTTCGAAAGCTTATAATCGATCAGTATTGACTCAGTTAATCAAACTACACATTGATTGTACTTGATCTACCTATACTAGCGACTTATATCGGCGGAGGAATATTATTTGCCTTCAGCTTCTTTACTATAAAGTCAAAATCTATTATGAGTCAGTGGAATGCTCAAAAAGGCAACGTCAATTCACACTATTATGCTTGCAGATCGAGCTACATCAGAACAGTTATTCTTATCTAACACGACCACGTTTACGTTACCGAAAGAATAGATAAATAATTTTATTTTGCGAAAAAATACAAACGAAACACACTTAATTCCCATTTTTCTTTGAGGCTTTGATAACCTATGTGTTTCATGTATCTTTCACATCGAAACTACTCATGCATGATGATCGTGGTGCGATGTATAGAAGTTGTTAACATTCGCTTAAGAGCAAAAAGTAAAACATAAAATATAACATTAGAGCACGTAAGTGATACGTACTTTATAAAAGCTAATCTATGCTATGCTATGATGCTTTCTGATGAATTATTTCGAACAATGCGTGTTTTTAATATTCTTTTAATAAGTAGGCAGTTCTATCTTAGTAGTTTCACTCAGGAGATGAAAAAGGGTATAAATTGAAAGAAAGGATCAAATCACGTGTACATAACAACGTTTTCTAATACCATCGATACAAACACTACAGTTACATTATGCAAATAATCACGATTATCTTTAATTGTGATTAAAACATAATCATGATTAAGCATTTTCTGTAGTGTAATCGCAATTTTTCTGGATCATGATTAACGATATCTAATCAAGATAAACAGAAATGTGTATAACTGCACTAATCAAAAAAGATAATGATGATGGCCATTACTATAAATACTCAGTTCGAGAGAATTTTTTTTTTGTGTTAGCAGATTTAAAATGAATACAGTAATGTTCTTTAATCTGATATATAGATTTGTTGACACCGACTACTAATAAACCTTACTTGTACTTTTTCCAGACATTCGAGTGCTTTTTGTCATTTCATTCGATATCTTTTCATCTTTTAACAAATGTAGCAGCAAGTTTGTTTCTTCCCCAGACCACCACGATCTTTTTACCTTCGTTTCATTCTCGTAACTTTGTGTAGTCATTTTTAATAAAAAAAAGTATTGTTAATTATTTACTTATTAACCTGTAAAAGAGTATAGTAATTCCAGAAAAATTCTTTCGTAGACACGACATCATTCAGGTTGATTAGTTATTACAGTTGAACAATAATATGAAAGCGCCGCCATTATGATCCTTTTCCGATAGATGCGGTTAAAGTTAATCATGATTAAACAAAATCATCTTCTGAACATGATTATCTTTATTCATGATTTTTGAAATAAACGTTATTAAAGTAGCGGTCACACTACTAGTTTCATCACAATCAAAGATAATCGTGATTATTTGCGTAGTGTACCTGTTATGAAAGTCACATTTTTCATGCGATTTCCGACAAGAATTTATAATTTTCGATCTATGAGTAACAGTTATACCTTTCGTATTAAGCTAAATTTCTTTAATGATTGAACTCAATATTGTAATGTTGATAAAATGTGAAACTGCTGAATGGGAAAAAAACAGATGCACCGTATTATTGTACAAAGAACTATAAATGATGTTGTTCCTGACTATTTTCTTTCTCACTCACTTTCAGACATCATTTATCGGAATTATTACTAACAGACTTTCTATTTACCGTATAAATCGAACAAATTATGGTTAAAAAATGTGATTCCAAACTGTTTTCATGTCTCTCCATAATTATCGTTTTTCAAGCCTTTTATGTAATAGAGCTACGAAATCAAAACAGATTCCTAATGATGACATTAAACAATACACAACATCGACGTAATACACCGTAAGTGCGGAATAGAGCAGGTCACATCTCGCCTTTCAGGACTTGTCGATGGTATGAAAACAGATGGCATATGTAGTTTTACCTATTTGAAAAAGATTTTGAAAGCCGAGTGCTCTTGTAGGGTTACGAAGAACTACCGTGTTGCGAAAGATGATAGTGACTAAAAGATTTACCTAAAGTTGTAGTTGAAACAGCATTGATTTCTGTTAGTTACGTAGGAAGTTGTACGTTACCAATAGCATCTTTATTTTGATCATTATGAATTCACTCGTTTCAGTGTGGAAAAACCACTCCTAATCAATTTACCGCCGTTTGTAAATGCAGCCTTAGCAGAAACCTACTCATTACCAGATAAACGCTACTTTAAAACTTCGTTTTGTTACACAAAGAAATTTACACAATCACCTCAACCTATTGAGATAAACGATGAAGTACTCGATTATTATCAAATTGAAGGAGCTGATTTTTCCAACAGAATATGGTCGGGACATTGGTGGCCAAAGAAATGTCAAGCCGAAACCCGTCTGGCAGTTATTATCAGTTACCGTGACCGTGAAAACCATTTGAAGCTCTTCTTAAATACTCTTCATCCATTTTTACAGCGACAATTGTTGGATTATACCATTTTCGTCGTTAATCAGCACGGTAAGGAAGAGAATTTTAACAGTTAAATTGTTCTATCTCTCTTGCTTTCAGATAATAATTCGTTTAATCATGCAATTTTGTCTAATATTGGCTATATTGAATCAACAAAATTGTACAATTATACCTGTTTCATCTTTCATGATGTTGATCTCCTACCGGAAGATGACAGAAACTTGTACACGTGTGGCGATAAACCTCGACATCTGTCTGTGGCCATTGATAAATTCAATTATGAATTATGGTGGCCAGGACTGTTCGGCGGCGTGACAGCATTTCGACGGCAGGATTTTATCAATGTTAATGGCTTTGCAACAATCTACCAAGGATGGGGTGGAGAGGATGACGGTGAGACTCCTCTCTTTTGATCAACACATTATTGCTTTCCTTCAACTTTTAGATATGTACAGTCGTGTTATGAACAGACTAAAGAATATCACTCGTCCGCCCATGGACGTCGGTCGATACAAAATGATTCGAAATCGTGGTCACGTAGCAGGTGATCCAAATCCTCATCGTCATGAAATACTGAAATCGAACTATAGTTACAGCCTAGATGGGCTCAACACAACAGAATACCAGTTGAATGAGATCAAATTTTACAAATTGTTTGTTTTGATTAATGTAACGTTGACTCAGTTAACATGGGATCAAATAAAACAGAGAATAAATCTCCACTGAACATAGATGCTGAATATAAATGTCAGGTAAGAACATCATATGGTGTCATTGATTGCATAACTTTGATAATCATCATCTTTTGTAAGAGAATAACTTAGTCTGAACGAAGATACAGAAACAAATAAGTGAAGGTTTTAATACTATTGTCGATCCAAAAATAGAACGGTATATGACTGACTGTTTTTTTAATAACTTTTGATCGAAAACAGCTAGGGGCCTACGATTTTCACCATTTGAAAGAGAAAACTTGGAACCATGTTTTCATAACCAAAACCTATTTAAAAGAGTTTTGTGAAACAGGCTTTCTAGGAGATCTTTGAAAAACTAGACCATGTGTAAAAAGTTTCCAATAAGATTGTATTGATATGAAATGTGAAACTTGACTTGATACTATTTTGATTTACTTTAGTTTTACAACCGTTTATCAGCTACTAGAGACTTAAAACAGAATTCATTTCTGAAAAAATCAAAAAAAAGATACCACGACCGGCTTCGCTCTTTCTCAAGGTAAAGTATGAATCATTTCTGCTAGAATGAAAGGAAATACTTAATGAAGAGGGGCAGAATATGTGCAGTGATCAGTATTATTATACTCCGTTCTCGTTGTGTGAAAGTTATCGTTCTTTGTCGATAAGAACAAGCAACGGGAACACCCTACGGTGTGGAGTCTGTCTTTCTCGGAGGAAACCACCTGTCGAAACCCTTGAGAAAGGTCGTGACCGGTCGTGGTAGCTTCTTTTGATACTTCTAGAAATAAATTCTGTTTTGAGTCTCTAGTAACTGATAAGCTGCTGTAAAACTAAAGTAAATTAGGATTGTATTGATATTTTTTCATGGGCTGACAGCCCGAAGTGTCCTCTTTTAGATGGATAACTATGGTTGCTCGACCATGCTTAGCCTCGTGGAAATATTCGTTTTTAGAAAACTTTAAAAATCTACCGAAAAGCGAGTTTTTCAAAAATTAGAGTTTCCCGGCCGTTTTCATCTAATATTAAAAAATTCGCTATTCACTTGAAAAACAACAGCACGAGTTTAAAACCTCAAGTTATGGTTAATGTTGTCCGCTAAACGTGATTGTAGATTGAAAAGATCGAAAAAGTATATTTTTGATATTAGACTTTCCAGGAGCCCGTTTGGAAAACATTAGGGCTTTGTAAAATTTTCTTCGAGATTTTCTATAATTAGGATATAGAATAACCTAATATCCCACATTCTGAAGTTTTGAACTCGTCCAGATGTGGATTTTGAATGAATAATCGTGAATAGTGAATTTGTTAATATTAGATGAAAACAGCTTGAATACTCTAATTTTCGTATAATGCATTTTTCGGAAGATTTTTCAAATTTTTCTAAAAACGAACATTTCCTTGAGACTCAGCCTAGTCAATCATCCATAGTCATCCATCTCGAAGAGGACACTCCGGGCTATCAGTCCATGAGAAAGATCAATACAATCCTATCGGAAAATTGTTTACATGGATCTAGTTTTCCAAAGATGCCCTAGAAAGCCCGTTTTAGAAAACTCTTTTAAAAAAATTTTGATTTTGAAAACACGCGTCCAAGTCTCTTCTTTCGAATGGTGAAAATCGCTGCGCTCTAGCTCTCCTCGATCAAAAGTTAGTCAAAAACAATCATATACCGTTCTGTTTTTGGACCGACAATAATGCTTTAATTTTTAAACTCTACTCTGTTGATGTCTGTCGTATATATATTTTCAACTGTTTAAGAAAAGTCACAGAAAGGCTGTCTCGAGGACTGCGCACGAGTCAAAACTACTGTAAGTTTCCAAGTCTTGAGGTTTTCTATAACTGAATGAGCAGTTGTAAAACATATTTATTCAGGTTTCTAATTCTTTATGTCAGTTTCAAGTTTTCTCTCTAAACACGTCGGCCTCTGCGTGAAGTTGGTTGCAAGATCGTCTCAGTTGTATAAATGATTGAGGCTTTCTTTAAATATCCAGATTAGTGTGAATAACTCCTGTAAAAATAATCAATCGATGAGATATGCGTATTTGCTTATTTGTATTATATCTGATAAACATGTATATTTCCATTGAACATCTTTTTCTTTGTTTGCTTATTTAAGAGTTATAGCCAGATAGAGACAGATGGTAGCAGACAAGTCGTGATACTTGAAGTTTCAGATCAAGGTAAAACGTTTACTATTAATATTGTGAGTCGACTACGTAGTTTACAATAAAAAGGAGAAGTTTTAATATCATGCCGTTGAAAAGATATAGGAATCGCAAGTGAGGTCGCCACATACTAGAAAGATGAGAGAAATAATAGAAATTCATTTTGTCACAAATGAAGTATAATTAAGAGCCGCAACTTTTTCTGTATATTTTTGTTATGCAGTCAATGTATGATGGTAATATTTCGGCGTGAAAATGTTTCGTTCAGCCTTGGCAGAATTTTCAAAATGGACTTCTATCCTGTTTGGGATCCATTTTTTACGCAGGCGTGAAAGAGCAGAAATGGATCCCGAACAGGACAGAAGTCTATTTCGAAAATTCCACCAAGGCTGAACGAAACATTCTCTAGCTGAAACATTACCATCATACATTGACTGCATAACAAAAATATATAGAAAAGTTGCGGCTCTTAATTATTAAAATGAATTTCTATTATTTCTCTCATCTTTCTAGTATGTGGCGACCTCACTTGCGATTCCTATATCTTTTCAACGACATGAAATTAAAACTTCTCCTTCTTACTGAAAACTAGTCGACTCACCCTATTTATAATAAATGTTTTACCTTGATCTGAAACTTCAAGTATCACGATTTGCCTGGTCCTATCAGAATAAGACTTTTAAGTATTTCCGACAGAAATAGAGCACATCATCTGTCTCTATCTACCGGGGATTTTTTCCTTGAAAGATGAATTCTTTATCCGTTCAGTTATTCATCAGTGTGTTCTATCTTGTAAAGATCAATCAGCATGTAAGAATGCTACCACTATGTCACTGTATTTGAGGAGCTGCCGATCGAATTATTTCTGTTTATTTGCACTAATTCATTAACGCAAGACATTCTGTAAACATTTTAACCGCTTAGTTATCATTACACGCAATCTATCCGCATAGCATATTGATCTCTCAAATCATTTGAGAGATCAATGAAGAACCGAAATTAAGAGAACCGCATTTTCGGTTCTTCACGAGAACCGAGATCCTACTCACCTATACTATGTAGCTGTTCCAAAAAAAATTATTCGGATCATTTACCTTACTTTTAGACAATCAGACTTCTCTTAGAATTTCTGAACACTGAAACCCGGAGTGATTACGCTGCATGAGAGTGAGCTATAAGAAAACATGGTTCCAACAGGGGCCTAATAAGTTCGTTTCATAGATGGATTATATTTACGAATCTTTATTGATCATTTATGATCTGCGTGTGTTGATGCAGAAGTGTCATTGTTTGATTATTCAGCTCTTGACTCATACCGAAAAAGTGCATCAAGTACCAAGCATGTTGTTTACTGATATCGGAGAACTGATGATGATATGGATTCTAATATGTATGTTCTGTAAGGGAGAAAACAGTATGACAAGCCTTGTTGTTTTGTAAAAGTCTAATAGTCTACTTAGACGTCCAACACAATCATCGCATTACGCATAACTCAAATCTTGACGAATTCATGGTTTGACCGGTATAGCTTATACGCGTTTATTTCTTTCAGTGAGCTAGGCATATGTTCTTGTTTTCTTCTGTCCTCTCCTCCCGTTGATGTTTTCCAGAACAAGCAAGGTAGGCGAAGTCAGAAGATTAAGTAAGAAACGCGGAACTCATGTTCCACGAATGATTTTAAGCAAGAAAATTAATGAGTTTTTCCCATCCAATAATAGATCATTAACGCATAAAATATAATAGTCGGTGTCTCAAAAGAACATGTCACATTTATTCTGTTGCACTATTATCTTCTTTTATTTTATAGCCACTTATAAGAGCCTAATCTGTCATATCTGGTCCAAGGAGTCTCGTCTTCCTCTCGAGAGGTCTCTTCTATAATTATGCCAGTGTCTGCTTTCAGAATCTGAGAGGCAAAGGACTGTAGCACTGTTCGTTCTCGAGTTATTCAAAAACTATCTGAGTGCATCATATTTCGAAACAGATAGTAGTAAAGTATAAGGGTTGATAATGAGAGAGTATAGATAATCGAATATAGCTAATCAAAAGCTGGTTATGAGCGACCTCTAGGAGCAATCTCTTTTGTCGAATTGTTTTTTCAGGTTGATGGGATGAAATTGCTACGGTGTGGGTTATCGAGCATGGTAAATCGAAAAATCACTATGAGTGAATTGCTTGCTTCTAGGAGTCACTTTCAGCAAGGCTATTGTTCGAAATTTCTTTTCATACTGTTGTAAATATCAATACTTATGAAGAGGTTTTCTCGAGATCTTCTAAAAGCTGTCTGGTAACGCTCGAAAAGTTTGATGAGTATGGCTGCTATTTAAGTATGATTTTCTCCAGGTAACTGTTTGGATGCGACACCTAGTATGCGACGTAAGTGTGTTTTTTCGAGTTTTATTCTTAGTATTTCGACTTTTTTATGCCGGTGGTCGTAAGAGAATGAAGCGCGTACCATTACGTTACCTGTCTCTCGGCTTTTATGTGCATGATATGTTTGCTGAGATTGAGTCATCTCCGTGCTGGTACGTTGCTTGTGGTACTAGTTTGCGTTTCAATGAATTTTATTCTACGTTGTTAGATTTAGTCTCGTTTATTGTTTGTTTTTCACGATTGTATCAGAGTAAGTAGTCAAAATGGTTGTTACTCCATTACTACGTGAAGCTGCGGACACTCACTGTTGATTTAGTTTAGTTTCACAACCGCTTATCGGGTACTAGCGACTCAATAAGAAATCTCATCAGGTAGTCTTAATAGAATGAAAAGAAATACTTGATCGAGATAAGCGAAAAATGAGCAGTGGTCAGTGATACTGTGCTCCATTTCCATCGCATGAAAGTTATAATTCTTTGGTCGGAAAAAACAA